AAATTGTGGTCATTGAAGGTCAAGTTTTCTTGAGTCTCCACAGTTTGAACATTGATCTGTGCCTGTTCATGGATGTTCGTTGCAGGAGAATCATCAAGAAACTCGCGATCTGATGAAATCACAACTTTTTGTTCCTTCCGTTTCTGCATATCTTGACACACATCTTGGGACAACCTCAGACAACCTCCCTGAGTTTGGTGTTTGATCATATTTACCAAGGAATAACTAGGTCCCTAGGTGACCATGTTCGCGATATGGAACCCTTGGTGGGGTGAACCTTTGGTGTTTCACCCCACAGGAAGTGGTGAAATCCACGGCCATTCCCATCAAGCGCACCTCAGTCACCATTCCCAAGGTTCGCGCCGCGAATGGGAGGTTCAAACATATCAAACATAGAAAAAACTTATAGGGATTTCCCTTCGGATTTTTCCTTGAAGCTGAACTGAGAAGCTGATGAAAGTGGATCTTTTGGATTGGAAATTGGGGGAAACTGCAGAGTTCGTTTTAGATGCTGAAATCAAGCGATTCGGTCAGATCTTTGGGTGTCTGCACGTTTTAGAGACACACAAGTACCCAAAAAATCAAAAAATGACTTGGGGTCAATATTTCCAAATTGGCTATGGAAGCTTTTCATTTTGGCTTCGGTGCGCGATATGGGAGTCTGCCAGAAACGCTCAAAAACCTGCTGCGGCTTGGCGACGAGGTGACAGCCTTGGGCGAGTACAAAGGAACCATCGATCTGGGTGCTGGCATCACCGCCAGCATCGACATCAAGGCCGAGGGGAACTGAACTCAGGGATCCAACTGACCCAACTGACCCAACTCCCTCTGCTCAGCCTACCAAAGTCCAATGGAATTTAACTGGAAGAGGGATATTCCGATGATATTTTGAGGGATATTCGGATGATATTTTGGGCACAATTTATGGGGAAGGTTGGGTCTTTGAGACCACTGGCTATTCGATGGATCTGGCAGGTGGTCAAAGAAGGAGGCGATGGGGATGGCGAAGCCGAGGCCGCAGTCAGCCAGTTTCCATCTTCCATGCCTTGTTGAAATCTTTTATTCTTTGATATTCTTTGTGTAGAGGTTTTGGAATTTCTTTTGGACACATCCATCGTTAAATCCTTACTGGAGATGACCCACACCCCGACATGGCTCAAACAAGAGCTGTTGAACGCCTCCACGGCTCAGGAGGAATGAGCAGGCCCGGCGGGGGACAAGGGCCTGGAATGTGTGTTTTTTTGGGACACTCAAGCTTGGAGGTTTCAACATGTTTGAAGCATTCGTGGTCTTGCGCAGGCCTAGTTAAGTTGGCATGACATGCTATAGGGACAAGTAACCCATTTGAGATTCCCAAAATTGAAAGAGTGACCGTATCAAGGCTTGTCAACCCATGTATGAGGAGATAGGGATCCATTGGTTAGTGGGGATTTAGGGTTTCTAATGACCATGTCCATTGGGCAGTACAGGTATCAGTGGCTAATATGAAGACTGGGAAACCCGTGCCGCAGGACCGCTGTGCTGAGTGGCTGGAATTTTCCGCTCACCACTAAACCCCAGAAGGGGGCCATGGCACCTCTGGTTTCTTCGTTCTGTTTCTTTCTCAGCAACATCCAAACACCAAGCGCTCAGCAACTGCGGTTTCCTTGGGGTGCCACGAGGACTCAGCAGACGCCGGCTGGGGGAAAAGGCAGATTCGCGAAAGGTTGCGCTCGCGTAGTGGTGTGCATGTTCATCAAAAGTGGCTCTCATCGTGGGGGTGCTGTCATTTGCTGCCATTTTCTTCGTGTCTTCTCGAATCATGTCATGAAAATTCCGATTCAAATCGAAACGAAACATGCAAAATCCGGGCAAGTGAAGATACCAACTTCATTCTTTTCAATGCTTTTGGGATGATAACTGAGATATGTTGATTCGGACAGGGCGACGCCATTTTGGCTTCACCCGGAAGCCACAACATTTCGGCCTGGCTCGACATGGCTCGACTGGATGGTCAATATTTCAGCCTGCCATGTGGACATGACCAGTTTGTCCACAACATAAGACATGGAGAGGATATCAAACTCATCTGGCTGTTTACAGACATCTATATATATATATATGTATGTATGTGAATATGAGCTGTGTGCACATGTCTATATCTATCTATCTATCTATCTATCTATCTATCTATATATATACAGTATATGTATATTATGTATTATATTGTATTATTATGTTATATATACACATATCTACGCATACATCATTATATACATAAAACATCATAAAACTATATGTATACACATATCTATGTGGAATTCTACATATAATTATGCTTATACAAAATTACATAATGTATGTATACGCATACATCTACAAATATGTATGCAACAATTTGCAGCAGTCGCCAGAATTCTTAAGACATCTCATTTGGCCATGGAAGCAGCGGTTCGTCGGGAGGCGGAGGTCCCTCCGCGATTGCCTGGGTTCGCCTCCGTCTGTCGATAGTTGTAAAAGGCGGTGTGCTAGTACCCCAGGTTTCCCAATCTTCTGACATTTCTAACCATCCAATGGTGGATTTGGATGGATTTTGGCGTGTTTTCACTTTTCGGCCCATTTGGTTGCATCAACATCTTCAATCTTTTCAATACCCAGTCCGTACGACAAAGTGACCAGCAGAGATAGGCCATGGGTCTAGCAGGTATGGTTTCGACTTGCCAATCTATGGGATATTATAGAGGTATAATGGGAGCAGATTTAGGATGATTTCAGGGACTTGACCAATAGATGGGGATATTCAGCTCATAGAGTTGGGTACCCTCTGGTAATTTAACGTAGCTATGGAAAATCACAATTTTTAATCGGAAAATTCACTATAAATGGCAATTTTCAACAGCTATGTTAGTTTACCAGAAGGTAATAATTCTTGTCATTTTGATGCTTTACTATGCACGACGTCATAGGCTTGAACGTTGCTGTTTCAGTGGCGGTGTGTGTGTGTGTGTGGCTTGCTGACAGTTATGTTTGTGTTGTACGCTGCGCAAGACTTACAACACAACGACGACCTTATTTGCTGCAAACAAAACTGCTCAGGTATCACCACTAAGGTCGAGATATGTCGAGATGACCAGGCTGATGTTTTTGATTGGTTCAACACGAAGCCCAACTATTTGTCTAAGTGGGATGACCATCGTCGCAGAAGTCCTGGTTTGGGATGATCGATGGGCTATATGAAACATTCTGAAACCATGGGCGGATCAAAACCAACATCTGCTGAAAAAGACAGGGCGAATGTCATGGTATTTCTATTGGGTCAAGTTTGGGCACGGATTCAAAATTGTAAGGCTTACTTCTAAACCTCTCAACCAGAGCGCTGTGCTTACAGGTCTTAACGGCTGACCCATGTGTCCAACAGCCATATGGGCGGAATTTTGCTCACCAATCTCCCGAAGTGGGCTGTTTTGGGACAATGTTTGGAGTGTCCAACAGCCTGGATTTTGGAGATTTTGGACGCTCCAAGACATAGAAAAACTTTCCAGGAGAACCATGGCTGATGGTTTCTTTTCATAGCCAGGTGCCGGCAGCTTTGGTGGAGGAGCTGAGCCAGTGGCGACGGGAGGCCCGAGATCTTTTAGTGCCTAGTTTGGAGGATTTTGGAATATGAACAACAAAAGTGCTGAAGTGAGCTGTTTGGGAGAAGGATTTTCTTCCCAGCAATGTTTGTGATTGAAAGGGGGCGCAAAGCTGTGACACCCACCAGATCAGGTTTGCTCCAGCTGTGGTGCTAGTGCCATGTTTTATTGTCCTTATTGTTGCGCGGAGCCCAGGTTTAAGGAACTGTGTCTCTTCACTGGCTGAACCTATATACATATATATATATATGTATAGATCGAAGCGGATTGAAAACGGTTTGAAGTAAATGCAGTACATGGGATAGATTGAGCTAGTTCAAAGTTGTTGACATAGAAACATGTTATCAAATGAAATCTGATATAGTCAATGAATGTCAAGCATTTAAGATTTGAATAGATTCGATACCCTCTGGTAATTTAACATAGCTATTGAATGTATGGTTGATTCACCTAATAAAAATGGTGATTTTCCATAGTTTTTTTGTTAGTTTACCAGAGGGTATCCCATTATCAAAGGAAGTTGGGAAGCAATACTTCCGTGTTACGGACAAATAGAATTCTGAGACTTGAAATGATGAAGGGTGGTGCGCGATTGAGACTTGACCTTGATGAAGGGTGGTGTGAGACTTTACATGACATAACAATACATCACATTGAGACTTGACCTTGATGAAGGGTGGTGTGAGACTTTTCATGACATAACAATACATCACATTGAGACTTGACCTTGAGGAAGGGTGGTGTGAGACTTTACATGAAGGGTGGTGTGAGAGTACATGAAGGGTGACGAAGGGAAGTGGTGACGAAGGGAAGTGGTGACGAAGGGAAGTGGTGACGAAGGGAAGTGGTGACGATGGGAAGTGGTGACGAAGGGAAGTGGTGACGAAGGAAGTGGTGACGAAGGGAAGTGGTGACGATGGGAAGTGGTGACGAAGGGAAGTGGTGACGATGGGAAGTGGTGACGAAGGGAAGTGGTGACGAAGGGAAGTGGTGACGATGGGAAGTGGACGAACGGAAGTGGTGACGATGGGAAGTGGTGACGATGGGAAGTGGTGACGGAGGGAAGTGGTGACGATGGGAAGTGGTGACGAAGGGAAGTGATGATGAAGGGGAGTGGTGATGAAGGGAAGTGGTGAAGAAGGGAAGTGGTGACGAAGGGAAGTGGTGCGCATTGGAATGGCTGCATGGGCTTTGTGTTGGGGAGGAAGCTGGAGCACGAAACCTTGTGTTTTTCCGTGTAAAGTGGCTGCAGGCGACGATGAAAGGTACCTCGTGTGTGCGACGGGTGCGGCTGGGGTCGTTTCATGCGCGAATTGTTCCTCCTGTGTTTTTTGCAACGAGTGGTTGTTCCTGTGTGCGTAGTTCTATGCGGTTCTTGAAGCTGTG